TGATTTTGTCTCAAATCGATTTCCACTCTTTGATATTAATAAGACATTTTCAAATGTTACTATCTTATTACTTTTTGATGATATCAAACCTTTTGAAAGTGTTTTCTTTGAACGTGTTGCTCAGACTTTACCTCGACTTCGAACACTCGAGATAATTAATCAACTTGAACAACAAGAAAAAACGACAGTGAAGAAAATTAGCATTGACTTTGCTCATTTAGCTGTACTAATTTTATATGATATTCATATGGATTATGCTCAACAATTTCTTTGTCAAATTCGTCTTCCTTCTCTAATCGAACTCGCTATTAATAAGGATATTTTATTGACAATAATCGATGAAAATCAACAACAAGCAAGAGACAATTGTTCTAGAGTAGGAACAATACGAACATCCAAACCATCGTATGAATCAATAGATATTATTGAAAACTTTTTCCCACTAGCTTACTATGTCAAGCATTCAAATGAGGGAAAACAATAAAATAAATAATTTATGTAAATGTCAAATCTTGGTGAACTTTTCTTTTTCAAAATTCGATCAAATATAAACATTAGAAATATCTTTATTCACTTAAATATAAGACACCAATTTAAATTAGATTGTCTTTTAATGAATAAATAGAGGAAGAAAATATTGATATGATCGTTTATTTTCTTGTTCATATTCGAATACTTTTAGCAGGGATGCACAATCTGCCGAGAAAATAAAAAATTTCCCGATATCAAATTCAATTAAAAGATCAGTCTTCTCGTTCAAGATGTTTATTAAAAAACAACAACTTCCACTATTCAACATACTGTAAATATATACTAAAAAAAGAATGCTACTATTTAATATCGTTTGGTTTAAGTAGAACTAGAGCTATTCAAATCGAACTCAACTCAAACCAACAAAACATGGTTCGATCCGGTCACTGATGGCCAATTATTAGTCATCCTAGTGGTTGTCTACGCATATGAAAATACAATAGCAACAGAGAAAAAACCTCAAGAGTGACGTTGCATTAGAAACATAATATAGAAAGAAAAGAAGAGAACACAAATAGTGCACCTTCTATCATGAATAGGTACAACGAGACAAAATGTAACAAGTAGCAAAATGCATGATCAATGTAAACAAAGATAGACGATACTGATACTAATATGATAAAGACACGGATGACTCTTTCAAATGTTTAATCAGAAGTAAAGAAAAAAGATATGTAGAAACTTTTATCGATGTCTATAGAAATAAACCGAGATTCGTTTCGAAAACTGACAATTTTTACCTATAACGGGAAAATATTTGTCAAAAGATTTTTTAGATGCTATTCAACTTTGAATTTCTCCAGATTCTAATAAATGTTCAAAAATTTCCCCGAACGACTGTTGCCGCATACGGGTAGATTCTGTATGCCTGACTTTTAGTAACACAAGATAATAATCGATCACTTTGAAATAGAGTAAATTACTCGCTCATGTTTTATTCAAAGAATTATCTAACACATTACATACAAACACAAAAAGATAAGATAGAAACAGCATAAAAAAAGAGAAAACGAACAAGTATGTGTTTTTATTTATGAATATACATTTTCATGCTTTTAACTTTAACAATTAGTCGGTTTACCTAATGAAAAAGAAAATGCAATAGACAGAAAAATTCGATCTTAACTCACTTATATAATAAACCAATTTGTGCTAACATTGAATTCTCTAATTGAGAAAACTTCGAGACTCTTCAATTCGAACAAATAACTAATTAACATTGGTTTAAATCAGTAAAGGATATGTCCATGGGAAATCGCCAGTCGATACAAGGACCTCGTTCAAATCCAATGAAACTTTCAGAGCTTGTACAGGTTTTTGCGCTGATCATTTTGGTAATAAAATTTTTAGGATTAGACCTCATTTTCGCAAAGATACAGATCAAATACTATTAGAACTTTTTTGCATTTTTGCAAAAAATCAATGCAATATTTGATAGAAAAATCGATGAAATTCCACTTTTCTTCGGTCAAATTCTAAAACCAATCAAACATTCAGATTCCTCGTGAGAAGCTGCATCAGAATTCATTGAAATGAAAAAAGTTTTCATGAACTTTTGTGCGGCCCCCTTTGTGAGGAAGAGTGTTGAAAAAAGTCAATCAGAAAGTCGGAATAAACGAGAAAGTTGGCATAGGCAGTTCGATAGAGCAGCACTTGCTCTACAACGTGGACTACTTAGTTTTCTCTCCGAGTTCGATATGGTAAGCAGCGGTCATCAACGATACTTTATATAACAATTTTTCAGAATCTTTTACATTTTGACCATTAAAAGTCGATTCTATTGGAAAATAAGCATGATATTCGGAATCAGCATAAAAAACTGCATTGAATACCTTATATTTTAGTCAAATATTTTTTCCACCGAAATTTGACCTGTACTCCCCCTCAGCCATACTTTTCTGAAGTTCGTCCTGTACTCTCCTAGGGGTCAAATTATGGTGGAAAAAATATTTGGCTAAAATATAAGGTATTCAATGCAGTTTTTTATGCTGATTCCGAATATCATGCTT